TCTTCTCAAAGCTAATCAAGGCATACATTATGCATAAGAGAGAGGGTTGGGTCTCAGAAACTAGCACACAACCATAGATCCATCAGAATGGATGTAGGGAAATCTGCATGTATTAGTTAAATTAATGTCAGTCATTAATGAACAGATACACAGTTTTGAGTTTTGGCCTGAATGCACATGCATAGAATGTTTCTCAGCTCTGTTCTTTCTATTCTGCCAGTGTTTTGTAAGATTACTCCATAAACACAGTCTAGGTAGAAAACACTAGTATCTTAGGACCCAACTCAAGACCCAAATGTAATCACCTTACATATTCTATGTGCAGGGTTTTTAGAAATTTTAACTGAATCCACAGGAATGAGAAGTTGTAGGTAATAAAACAAAGCTGAACTTTAAGGGGACTTAATTGCAGTTTAGCATGATGAATTATGGAAAATAACTGAAGTTTAGCTTGCAACTATGTTATAGAAATGGTTTTCAAACTTTAGGGTACATAAGAATCTCAAGATCTTCCCTGGCTTTTTGCTCAGAAATTCAGATTTAGTAGATTTGGGATGTAGAACCACAAATTTTCACTGTTAACAAGTTCTACAAATAATGTTGCAGTAACCAGATTTTTGTTGACATGAAATGGTTGGACGTTTCTATTTTGTTGCCAGCAAACCTTTAACATCCCAGGTCCACTATTTACTAGCTAGGAGTTCTTGGAAAAGTTAAGTGACTTCTCTATATCTAATATTTAAAATAGGAATAATTATGCAGTGTTTCAAGGATATTACTGAAATAACAAAGTGCCTGGTACATAGTAGATGCTTAACTAATATTAGTTTCTTTTCCAAATCATATACTGTGTTTGTTCTTAATCTGAACCCAAACTAGAATTTCTCTCCATTACTCATTAAACTAAGTATAAATAATCCAACATAGTTAGAATCATTATCTCCATTACTCATTAAACTAAGTATAAATAATTCCACATAGTTAGAATCACAAAAATCACATACCTCAACTCAAATGATCAGTTTTCAGCCCCAGAAATATTTTTGTAATACCTGAATGACTGAGCCATGACAGAACATTAATGCAATCACATACTTAGTCATGATACTAAACCAGCTGTTCCAAGAATTTGAGACTTATTTAAATAAAAGCAATCTCAAATCCACATTCACCATCCTAAACTATAAACTAAGAAGATCTGCTTAGAGAATGAATTAGACATCACAGTGTTCCTGCTCAAAGATGAAGGTGCTGGTAAACTCTTATCCACTTTTGGACATATATTATCATTCCCAAGCCTCTTGCTTTCATAGTCATCCAAATATGTCAGATACAGCAAGATTTGCTGACAAAAGTCCAACACACACTCAAGTTGCCCAAAGCAATATTTTTCAACATGACAGTTTTATTTGGGTTAATAGCTAATGGCAATGAGAAAAAGCACATCAAATGACACACAGAACACAGCTTCTGAGGTACATGAAAGTCTGTCTCTTTGTGAGGTCTTGATCAAAGTTGAAGAGGTTATAAACAAAATTTGACCAACACCCTTCTAAATGGACCCCTATCCTAAGGCTTTGCCTCCATCCTGCCATACCCACCAAAACCTTCCTAATCCACATGTTGAAAAAGGCATCCCCATTTCACCCTACAACAAAACAATAAACACTGGAGAAAGCAGACTTTGAAAAGCTAGAAATATAAACATATTTTAATATATACTCAGTTCTTATTTTTATCAAAACTATACAGTTACAGAATTTTAAGTCATAGAATATGAATTAGCATTCACTAAGACAAGAGCAAGTATTCTCTTTTCCTCTGCAACTTAACCTCACTCGCCAAAGGCAACTACTTTCAAATATTTTATGTTTTGGTTATATTGTGTTCATTATTATTATTGTGTGTATGTGTGTGTGTGTGTGTGTGTGTGTGTGTGTGTGTGTTACTGGCGATTAATCCAGGGGTCAGCACTAACCTACATCCCAGCCCTTTTTATTTTTTATTCTGAGACAGAGTCTCACTAACTTGCACAATTGTTCATGCTGGACTCAAGCATACAACTGCCTGCCTCAGTCCCTGCAAATACTGGGATTATAGACATGCTTTGCCAAGCTCAACTGTTTCTTCCAGCATTTATCTCCATGCTTCTAAATAACTTTGGGGTTACCTTTACCTAACTATGTAAATGTCACTTGCTGCTGGTCCAAGTCATGTACTATAATTTTATTTCCTTTTCTAAACTTATTTTTGTTCTTCCTAGAGTTATATATTACCTCTTTGAGAAGAATTCAGTTGATTTCCCACTGCATTTACTCTTAAGTCTTAAGTTCTCTAGTAGCCAGCATTTTAACAAAATCACTTACAAATACAAGTAATTTCTCATTTTCAACTTTTCCTAGAGACCTTCCTCTAGACTTCACTTAGGTTTTCTGTTTTATTTTTTTCTATTAAGTTTATTGGTGCATTTAAAGCAAATAATACAATTACATTTATCATTGGGATCTTGTGCCTTTACATGATATATCTTGGCTCTTGTTTTTTCCACATACCTCTGCCCTCCCTTCACCTCCTTTACCCTTACCTATTTACAAAGACTTTGTTTCCATTTTTTCTTTTCCCTTATTTTCTTTCCCCACCCTCCCCACTTCCCCTTTAGCCATTTTCTTCATATTTCACACTTTCAAGTATACCATTTGAACCTCATTTACACTTTTAGTTTTTCACACCAGAGAAACTATTCAGTGTTTACTCAAATATGTCCTATTTATTTCACTTAAGAGTCTAGCCTCAATGTGCATCCATTTAGCTATAAATGTTTCTAGTTTCTCATTCTTTGTGGCTGAGTAGTACTCCATTTTACAGAAAAATCACATCTTATTTATCCAGTCTCCATTTGATGGGCATTTGGGTTGTTTTTAACTTTTAGCTATTACATACTGTGGCTCTATAAACATGGGTGTGCATATATCACTGAGTTATAATTCTTTTAATTCTTTTGGAAAGATACCCAGCAGAGGGCTGGCTGGATCAAATGGAACCTCTAGTCCCAGCTCTTTGAGGTCTCTCCATATTGATTTCCACAGTGGTTGCACCAGTCTGCCCTCCCACCAACAATGGAGAATGGTACCTTTCTCCCCACAGCGCCACCAGAATTTGTTATTGGTTAATTTCTTGATAGCAGCCCTTCTTTCTGGGGTAAGGTGTAATCTCAGTGTTTTCATATGCATCTCTTGAATGACCAGTGATGCTGAACATTTTTTCATATATTTAAATGCTGCTTTTACTTCTTTGTCTGAGAAATGCCTGTTCAGATGCCCATTTTTGAATTGGGTCTTTGTATTTGGGGGAGGGTATGATATTTTTGAGTTCTTTCTTTATTTTAGATAGTAGTCCTTTGTCTGAGGAATAGCTGGTAAAAATTTTTTCCTTCATTGTAGGTTGTCTCTTAGCTCTGTTGGTGGTTTCTCTTGAACTGCAAAAACTTTTTAATAAGGTGAGATCCAAGTTGTTGATTCTTTGTGCAAGTTCTCATGCTGCTGAGGATTTATTTATTAATAAAGTCTTTTCTTATGCCAATGTCTTTGAGAGTTCTACCTAATTTACTTTCCAATAAGTTTAGTGTTTCTGTTTTTATATTTAGATCTTTAATCCATTTGGATTTTAGTTAAGTGTATGGTGAAAGATGGGGTCTAGTTTTAATCTTTGGCAAGTTGAAAGCCAGTTTTTCCAACACCATTTATTAAAGATACTATCTTTCCTCCAGTGAGGATGGTTGGCTGCTTTGTCAAGGATGAGGTAGCTGAGTATGTCTGGTGTTGTTTCTGAGTCTTCTAATCTATTCCACTGATCCTCAGGTCTGTTTCTTTGTCAGTACCATGCTGTTTTTATCACTGTGGATTTGTAGTACAGTTTCAAGTTGGGAATTGTGATACCCCCTGCCATGTCTCTGTTTCCTAGAATGGTTTTTGCTCTTCTGGGTCTCCTCTGGTTCCAAATGAATTTTTGGATTATTTTCTCAAGTTTTGTGAAATATGCTATTGGGATTTCAATCAGAATTGCATTGATTGGGCTTTCTATTTTAATTTGAACCTTATTCCTAAATTTACACTTATTCTAAACCCTGTATGTTATATTTTTGTTTCAACTTTTTTCTTTTAGTGAAGGCTGACTCATCTTTAATGACTGGAGTTCAAGAGCAAATCTTTCAAAAGCATAATCGTTCCATGTATATAATACAGATATTCCAAAATAGAAAATTAATAAATTTATAAATTACTCTCAATAGTATAACTGATATATTCTCATAAATTGCAAAATTTAAACATCTTGCTAGAGAAATCTAAAAAATGGTGACAAGCTCTCCAGATGAGAAATCCAAAGGCTGGGATGTTATCAATGGAAAGGGCTTAAAATGTTGTAATTCCCTTTTATGTTCCATAGAGTTTCTCTGATAGTTGATTGTCATCTGATTTTGGCATTCACTATAATTGAACACTATGTGCAAATAACAGGAAAAATCAATTTACTGACCATGAAAAAAAAGAAAAGAAAAATGAGATATAGACTCACTTGAACAATTTTAAAGCCTTCTCGGTAGGGTTTAGTTATTATGTTTTGTTCCCAACGATCAGTGCTGAAACACACACACAAAAAAATACCAGTAATTGGGGTCAGTGTTCAGTCAGATCCATTCTAAAAAGGATCTCAAGCCAACCAGTAAACGGTGTGCATGTCCTCTGTTAAAATAAAATTTTGGCTTCAAAGATGCCTCCAAATTTTCCATTACATAAAGTTAATGAGTTTCCTTTAACTAAGGTGTTATGAAGGTGTAATTCACAAAAGTGAAAGTTTAAATGCCTCAAACTCTATATATGAAAAAGATACTCATGAAAGAAGAAAAAATGTGCATTAATGTCAATGCTTTTACAATTGTTTTTTAAAAATATTTATTTATTTATTTATTTATTTATTTATTTATTTATTTATTTATTTGCCAGGTAAAACTCTTGGAGCCATTGCAAGAAGCTGTGTCAAAACAAAAATTTGAGGTTCCAGGTTCTTACTGAGAAGAACACATAGTCAAGGGTGAAGTTCAATGTCACATGCAAAGAAGGAAACTATAGGTTGTTAAATGGGGGAATTGGACCACTGGAGTTTTCCTCAACATCTTATAGAGAAGTCTGTACTTCCTGCATGACCTAGGAAAAGACCAGAAAGCCAAAGGAGTGCCTTTTCTGAGAAAGGCTGACCAGTGCCCTACATTTCTGTTCCCCAGAGTTGCTTACTTGTTCCCTCAACTCTGATGTCTGCCTGCAGATAGACCACAGTTACTGAAAATTGTCCTTTTCCGTCTGTTTCTTAAGCTGAAAGCAACAATAACATTACCTTCAAAGGCTATTCTAAGAGTTGAAACGTTATAAAGATAACAAATTATATGTCACAGAGTTTTTATAATATCTTAAAGATTCAGGCCAGAAGCATATGGATGTCTTGGGAGACCCCTATGTTCTAAAAAAAAAATCTAAAAGATGGATCTAAAATCTAAATCAAGGATGATGTATGTGTAAGTCAAGGGCATCCATTGTTACCTTCCTCTCTGCTGTGCAATTCTTAGGCAGCCTGGTCTTTATTGACTTCTAGCCTCTAAATTTCTGCAGCTTTTAGTTTCTAACACAGAGGTACACCCACATCTTGACGTCCTTTGTCCACACATCTTTTTCTGGACAGCAGTCTTCTCCGAGAAGAAGCTGAAAACTCCTTGAGAACAGTGATAACTGTCAGTTGTTTTTGTGTCCTCTGCGGTACCTAACACAAGGTCACTCTCGGACTTGTTTGGTTCCTGTTGATTTTTAATCAGCAAAACATTCCCTTCTATAACAGTGATTGTCAATACTGCTTGCACATTACATTCACTGAGGACATTTTATAAGACAGTGATGTTCAACTCCATCACCAGAGTCTGCTTTAGTTGGCCTTGGATAAAATGTGGGCATTTCTCTAACTTTTCCTCAGGTGATTATAATTTACTTGTTAAGGGGAATTCTATAAGCTGGGTGGTGAGATGAAAGCAGTCAAATTTTCATATTGACCTGAACTATACTAAAGTTGAAAAGGTTAATTATCTGGGAATCTTAAAGGTTCTTTAACACATGATCTCTGAAGACCCTGGGGAATGGGAGTCTAATATGCACCACAGTTGATATCTACTGTAGAGCTAGTGTGAAAATATCACTGTATAGGCTCCGTAGTAGCACCTACATGGAAATGAAAGAAGGCAAAGGTGACCGTGGGAAGGTGGCCCAGGGGAGTATTGTTTGAGATGATGCCTGGCATTTGATAAACACTCGATTAAATAAAATAAAACAGGTCTCTTTAGTATACGCCTTTTCAGAATCTTCAGTAATCTAATATGTGGTGAATTTCCAAAGAGAATACTATGTATGTATTCCGAGGTTTAATTTACTCAGAGCAAATATGGCTCCCGTACATCTCATTTAAGGAAATCCTACTTAACACGAATTAAGTATAGAATGGGCTAGATCAGTAGGGAATGTTAAAGTGGGACAAGTGGGATGATTTTATTCTAGAAGTTAAGAAGATTTGTGATAAATCTCCTAGGACTCATAAATCTTCTTAATCTTTAAAAGATTGTGAAAGGAACCTCAAATTGGAATGAATGGCTGTTTACGTAAATAGCATTCAACACCTCATGCTAATATGTTCAGTTTTGCTCATTGATGATTAATCACATTTTAAAACATGTAATTATTTATTCCAATTTCCAAAAAATGAGGAGCTTACTTCAATATTTCTAATTGTCAGAAAAGAAGTATAAATAGAGGAGGAATTATTATATTCATGATTTAAGAGAGAAGTCTATGAATTACTAATCTTTGAGGCCAGCCTGTTTTATAACATGCTGCAAAAGGACTGATAGTTAATGCACACTAGATAAGAATTATATTTTAGAGGAAGAGCTTCATGGAAACTTAGAGAGGAAATTAATGAAATTGACCATTATAGGCATTTTACTGTACAAATATGGCTGCAGAGATTATTCACTGATTAACCTTTGCATGTTAGATATGCCTAAGTGGAATTTGAATGTCGTGAACCTTATTTTATTTATGACTTTGGAAAATGGGGAAACCAGTAAGAGGATACATGTAATTCAAAAGAGTATCTAGAGAACAAGCATGTTTGATACATCAGGAATACTAGAATGAATTGCAAATGGACTCCAAAATGGCTGTATCCATAGTGAGAGAGTGTATTCATCACCTCTCCCATTGCTGAGATACAATACTCAATACTTAAAACTTAAAGGAGGAGAGGTTTCATTTAGCTCACAATTTTAGGTGATTCATTCCATGGTCAGGTGGCTCTAAGGTAGAAACATCACGTTGGAAGGATGTGTCAGAGTAAAGATGCTGAGGGACACAGAGCAAGGGAATAGTGCTAGAGAGGAAGGAGCAAGAGACCGGATTTAGACTCCAAGACCATGCCTCTGTGGCTCACCCAGATATACCCAGGAATGTGCTTTATCAGTCCCCTGGGCAGCTCCCAGGCCAAAAAAGTCACAGTTAAATTTAACTGTCACAGAGAGGGAAGTCTTTCAAACTCCACGGAGCAGAATTTATCTTCATGATTATAAACAAGAATTCTTTGTACTCCTATCAGTTACCTACAACTTACACAGTTGTAAAGTAGTTCAAAGGCAGACTGGAATCCCCATGAGATATGAAAACATGGAAGGGTATTCTTTAAACAATGTATATAGTTTTGAAGAATTAACTCTGATTCATTGATTCTTTGTATTTTTTTTCCTCATTGCTTTCTGCTCTGATATTTATAATATACTGGCTTTGGATTTGGACCATTTTTGGTTTTCTAGGACCATGAGATACATCATTAGGTTATTTATTTGAGCCCACTCTGTGTTTCTGTTGTGAGTGTTCACAGCTATAAACTGCCTTTATAGGATCCCTTTCATTGTGTCCCAAGGGTTCTGGTATGTTATACTGGCAATATTGTTTGATTCTAGGAACTGTCTCATTTCTTCTTCAATTTCTTCTGTGGCTGATTTATTCAAAAGGGTATTGACTAATTTCCATGGATTTTCACAGCTTCTATGGTTTCTTTTTCCATTGATTTCTAGTTTCAATACACTATGATCTGGTAATATTCATGGGATAGTCTTTATTCTTTTGCATTTGCTTAAAACTGGATTGGGGTTGCATAAAATCTATATAACCATTTGGAAGTATGGCTTTTTTTGGGGGGGGTACTGGGGATTGAACTCATGATCTTGCACTTTTGAGGCAGGCAGCAGAACCACTAGGCTAAATCCCTGGCCCATGGCCATTTTTTTTCTTTTTCCTCTACTTTTAAAGAGATTCATACAAAATTAAATTTTTCATAACTGCTTTGTTTTTACTATGTTGGTGCTGACTACCAAGCAGAAGGGGATAACCTTCTGTCTCCTGATGTCCTCTTCAACCTCCTTTTTCAGGGTACTGTAGTGTTTGTTGTAGAGATCTTCCACTTCAAGAGGTCTTTCTTAGGTTATATCTATGTATTTAATTTTTTTCATGATGCCACTGTGAAAGGTTTTGCTTCCCTAATTTCTTTCTCAATGAGTTTCTTATTGTACAGCAATGTTAATGATTTCTGTGTGTTGACTTTGTATCCTACTATGCTACTGAATTTGGTTACGAATTCTAGGATTCTTTTGGTGGAATAGTTTGGGTTTTCTATGTAGAGGATTGTGTTATCTACAAGTA